TTCTCGTTGTTTTTTGAAAAAATTCCTTTTAAGGAAATTATTTAGCAAAAATGTGGTCAACGGGAAAGAGTTTTTTTGCTATAATTGTATTAATTTCTTATTGTGATCTTTTACCCTTTTCTTTTTATTATTTTATTTTATTTTCTTGTTTCTATATTGAAGCCTTGGCCTCGACACTTATATATTATATCTGCAATGATGCTTCTTTTCCTTTCTTTTTTTATTTCTTTTATGTTTTGTATAACTTTTTTTACTAAACACATATTCTCTTGGAGTTGCAAGAATCTTATTTCTCCTATACTATCCAGTATACCATTGTCTTCTATTATCATTTCTAAGCTGCTTAATCTTATCAGTATTATTTTTTCCTTTATATTTTTAATATTATTCAACACTTGTATTCTTAATGCACTGCTTGGAAAATTGCTCACTAGACTATTTTTTTGTTTATAAACCAATCCACTATTCTTTGTCACTTTGCTATTGTGCTCTTTTTAATATAATTATAGTAAAACAGTAAGTCTGTTACTAATCCAGGACAGTGCTCACATTATGCTACAGATGGGCTAGGGGATCATCTGTCTCTAGCTTCTTGATCTATCTTGTGGGTTAGGCTGGCAGTTCTCAATAATTATGCTATAAAACTATTGTAACCTTACTAATTATTTTATTGGGCAAGAGCTTTACTTTAAGATAGGTTTATTAATATCTTTTATTGAATATCTGTACAACAAATACAGCTTTCTTTATCCTACTGTTTCTTCTCTATTGCAAGTTGCCTCTCTCTATATTTATATGTATCTATCTCTATCTATCTCCCTGTTACTGATGATCTATTATTATTTATATTAGTATTGATGTGTTTATTCCAACTTATGACATGTCTTGCAGCCAACTAATATATAAGCTGATACATCAGTGATGATATGATATAACAAGCTTAATTTGCTATATAAACAAGAAAAGCATCTATAAATATCTATATAAAAATATACAAATTTTATACCAACAATATATATATCTGTTGTTAAGTATTTTATTGCAAGTAAAAAAATTAAAAACTCTCTCCTGATCGCATCCATTTTGCTAAAAAATTTCCAAATATAGTAATTTTGGTTAAAGAAAAATGTTTTACACTCTTTATTGCAAGTGAGCCCCAGCTCAGGAACCCAAAAACATTAAAAACAACTGGTGCAGTGGGATGGGACCTCTGGTCGAAGTCTACTCAAGTTTGGGAGTCTTGTTTATCCTTTGGTTGCATGGGGAAAGGCCCATGGCAGTACACTTTGATTTTTTGATTCTCTTGCAACCCATATACCCTTTTTATCATGAAAACCATCTTCATTTATATCATCACAATTGCTATATTCATAAACACTTTCCAAAAAACATACTCAAACAAAGTTATAGGTTCTAATGTTTGTTTCAACACAACCTTCACATACTTTTCTATCCTGGTATCACTTACTGCGCCACTCAAAAAAATCTTCAATCTTTTTTGATCCCAAAAACTGAAATCAGTTTACCCCTCCAGTTGATCAACGTCTGGCAACCGTCCAATCAAAATTCACTACATCACTCAAACCAAAACAACAAAACTGGTTTAAACCGGTTTATCAATCCATCAATATCAACAATATCAATAACAACAATAACAATAACAACAACAACAACTGGCTCAAACCAGTTCACCCATCTGATCCTTATCACAACAACAACAACTATCACAGTAAACAACTTCAAGTATATTCTACTATCCATGTCAAGAAAAGAAGTATTATCAAGTTACAAAGAACTAGCGATCCGGGACAACGAGCCTGGCAAAGTGTTCTCTTGAGGATTCATCTTTTATTTTCATAGATTTTATTATTTACTCGACTTAGTTTCAGTTTTAATTAGCTTTATTTTTTTTCTTCTTTTCAAATTTCCAAAATGTAAAAACTTTTTTTCTGAGTAGGTAGGCATAGCCGCTACTTCCTTTGTTTAGCAATTAGTATAGTTTAAAATTTCTTTTCTATGTTAGTTAAACATTATAGAGTAGGCAAGCTAGCATTAAACTTATTGTATGCTTTTGCAACTAAGAGATATTGATTCTTTCTAAATATACACTATTATACGTACGAAATAATAAAAAACTGGTGTTTACTTACTTTAAAAAAAAAAAGTATTTTATTACAAGTAGAATTACTTCATTTATAAGATATTTGACTATCTCTGTTGATATCTTTTTCTTCTTATTGTATTAAGGTTAGATATCACTATTTGATTTATTTTTTTCTCTTGTATAGCTATAATCCCAGGAATCTTTCTGCTTTTCCTTTTTTACTTGCTATAATCTGTCTGTTATTAAGCTTACCTTTTGATTTTTTCTTTTTGTATTAAGTGCTATTAGTTTAGATTTTTCTGTATTAACTTCTATATCATTTATACTATAGAACTTTTCTACTATTTGCAATATTTTTTTTATTTTTTTTTTGCTATCCAGATTATATCATTTATATAGACTATACTTTCTATAGTAATTTCTTATTCTTTTGTTTTATTTGTATTGTAGTCACTTATTTATTTGTTGTTTATGTTATAATCATATCTCAAATTATTTATTTACTAATTAAAGAATTATAAAATATTTTTTATATAAGGGTAATATGGAGTCTATTTGATCCAGTTCATTTTTGATTTTGTATTCTTGTATTATTCTATACTTTATAATTATATCTATTGTTCTATTCTCTCTTATTTCTAAAATTATTATTATTAATTTTATTGGAATATTTATTCTGTTTAAAGTTGTTTCTAAAGCTTTTTTCCTTACAGAATCAAAAGCTTTTTTTGTATCTTTAAGCAAAATCACATTTCTTTTTTGTTAATTTGTATATTTTCTATCAAATTCTATAAAATTATTCTTGGTTTAATAGTTGTTTCTCTTGTAGTACCTGTCTAATTGTTTTCTTATAAAACTTTAAAAAGAATAGATACAGTAATAACAACAAATAAAATTCTACAAAAAATAATCAGACAGATATGACAGGAGGAACAATAACCAAACCAAGAATAATCCTATAGAATATAATAAAGAATACATAAGTAAATAAAAAAAAATATGAATCCTGTTTAAAAATCTAAGAAAGTCTTTAACTTAGTTAGAAAAAAAATTCTATAAATAATCTTAGAAAAATAGAAATCCTATTGAAATTAATAAAGATAATTCTGAAAATGAAAAAAGACAAATCAGCAGATATAATCACAAAGTATAGGATAATGCAATAGTATTGTTATGCCTAATGATCTTCAATATCCCTTGTTCAATTTTAGTAGCATTTACCCTTGTAATATTGTCTATTCTAGAATAATCTTGTATTACAGATCTGTTACTGCACTTTCGGTACATATTGCACATATTGTATCTTTACCATTTCTAGAATTTCTATACTATTGATCTACTGTCGTACTTTTGTCTACTTTGCCTACTTAGCTATCTCTGCCTATTCTGGAATATTCTTTAGTTTTACTTACTATTATTACTTTACTATCTTCGTCAGAGTATTCATTTCTATCAATGTTGATATATTTGACTGTTTTGATGAAGATATCATCTCTTCCATAGTTATTATCTTTATCAAAGTATACTACTATCATGTACGCAAATCATATATCAAAAAAATATATATAAACACCTCCAATTCCTCCTGAAATTGCAAGGTTGAACTTTTCTCTTTATTAATAAAATAACTTGACCTTTATAAAACAAATCACCATTGCCTCTTTCACTTGACCTCATATACCTTAGAACTGTACTAATTTTAGTACACCCTTATAAACTTTAGCATACCACATTGGTCCATCCATATAAAGTGTCTCCCTGCTATTAGTTCTCCGTCCATATCTTTCTCCTGAGGTAGAAAGATATATGACAAATTGGTGGTGACTGTGAGATGCGCCTCATCCGTTAGACGCAATTTCGGTAATCAAGACCCAAAAATGGAACGCTCGTTGATTGCCACCCCTGAGAAATTGCCCCCGAGGAAGTTCAATCTTCACAGGAGCGACGAAAGCGACGATGTGTCCGTGACGATCAGAGAAACGAAGACCAATTCCGCTCCAACGACGATGTCCAAGAAGAATTCGGCTGTTGGTATAGGCCGAATAGATGAAGAAGCATCGTCCCGACCTAAAAGAAGTCCCAAACCAACATAGAAGCTCCGGAATGGCTTGCGCAGAAGAAAAGCGAAGCCTAAAGAACGACGATCACGGGATCGGCAGTATATGCGCCTCCCCCCTAAAAATTAAATTATGAAAAAAAAAAATGAGTAATGAACGACGCTGCACTACACCGCTCTCAAAGAAACTGTTCCCCTTACCTTCTACGCAACAGTTACAAGTAAATGTTCAGCAACCAATAATGTTTGTATTTGAACGGTTTTGTTCTGGAACACTCCGCTTCCATCGCCGAAGCCGGTTGACCGTCCAAGCGAAGACGCGACAGTTGATGCAATGGATACTAGACCACAGCGAGCCCTTCTAGTCATAAATACGACCCAAAGGAATGACCCTTATAGATAAAAAAAAAAATTGAATTCGAGTGCCAATGTCGCCGCTGGTAGTATAAAGGAAACCTAAGTTTCCCGACCTTAATGCACAAGGAGTGTCAAAGACATACTCTTTGATTGCACAACATTCCTTGAGAATCCTGTGAAGAAAAGTCCGCAGTATTATAACCAATTGTTCCTTCGCGCGTCGATGAACCAGAAGATTTCATACCATCACGCCGATCCTTGTGGCAGAATCTGTCGATGATAGTGATATCAACGACGAAGATTCTAGTTCTGAGGATGGTGAGAAGGAACATGCAAAATCAAAAGACGAAACATGACCACAATATCAAAGAGGAGAGAGGAAAGAGACTGCTTACCTCTCAACAAGTCGTCGGTCCCGAAGTCATACCGGGGTGCCGACGATCACGAATAAAAGTCGCGACGCCGAAAGAAGCTCCAGACGAGTCCCTAAAGAAAGGAGGACCGTCTGTAAAGAGAAGAACGGCGAAGAAACCAAAGGCAAAGAACCAAACTTACCGACGAGACTCCGGTAGCACATGTGAGGGACGATGGATATCGCCGAGGGTCAAGGAGAACCCGCGGATGGCGAATCGAACGTGAAACATGGGGCTAGGGATATAATGGTAAGAGAGTTAGAAGCCAATGGTAGAACGCCGCAAAAGAAAGAAAACGTCGCAACGTACCTGAAATTTACTAAGACCGACGATTGGAAAAGCCATCATAATCGTGATCACGGTCATGATCACGATCGCGCATCGCCCTCTAATCACGACGAAGACAAACACCGCAACGACGCAAGGACCTACGGAAAAGAAACCAGCGGAAGTACGTAAAGACAACACCAACAACCAAGACCATACTTACCAGGACGGACCTCCAACGACACCGACGACGGAAACGATGAATGCTACGAATCGCGACGACAAGCCCAGGAACGCCGAATTCGTTGAACCGCAGAAGTGACGGAGGCGGACGAAACCAAGCAAGACGAGGACAAGAAAAGAAGGATAAGTATGAGAGGGGAGGAAAATAAAAACGGAACGCTTACCTCACCTCGCGAGATGATAACCAAAGATCAAACACCAGGATGCTGCCATAATCGTGATCACGATCATGATCACGATTGCGCGTCCCCATCGATCATCACAAATTCCAAAAGAGCCAGTAGAGTTTCCTTTGCACTCAAAGATGAAAAGATTGACGAAACCGAATCAGCGAAAAGTGTATCCTTTGCTCGTGTTTCTGGACGGACATCAAGTGAGGATGAGTTCAATTCAATCGGTACCCGCTTCTCCTTGAGTATGTTTGATATAGGCAAGGACCAATTAAAAAAAAAAAAAAACACATGATACAGCATCCAAAGTCCCTGTATCGCCAGTAGAACGAGTTGAATCACATGAAGTTCGTCATAGCATCAAAAGAACTTATGATAGACCGAGGAGTTCCCCACCTGCAACGGCATGACAGCTCTGATGTGAATGCCGGAAAGCTGCCATGGCCGTAATCACAACCACAATCACGATCGCGCCCCCGGAGATGATGATGACACTGCAACTCTAACTGCTGTCGATGTTGACAACGACGGCTACGGTTACGGAAGATACCACCATCACCAACCGACGAAGACGGCGACGAGAGAGAAAGCTTACGGAAAAACTTATCACCGCCGAACCAACGAAGCCGCATCAAGACCTACAAAGACAAGACATGGTTAGCATACACTTCAACGCCATATAATTCCACTAGCATACATGTACCTACAAAATATATGCCGTGCCGCACCATCAAGATTCTACAAAAATGAATGAAGACAAGTGAAGTTGATATTACCTTTACCCTTTTAATTACCCTTATCCTTTTACAATTCCTTTATAATTCCTTTGATTACCCCTCATACTCTATTAGCATTTAGTGACACACATATCATTTTACTTTATTTTTTTTTTAGACTTGAGAAAATATTATTATTTGCTTGGGTAATTTCATAAAGCCATTACATAGCCGTAGACGACCTTGATTCTTA